TAAAAAAAACATAATGCCTCACTCATATATTCTACTTAATTAATCAAAGGGACTACAAAAAATACCGGGGATGATTTTACATTTGTTATACCTATATTACCTGTACTTTTCTATAATGAATGAGAAAGACCATAGTGAAATCATGTTGAATGCAAGAAACGTTAATTTAATCCATTTCAATTCTCATTTTTTAAATCTTGCAAACTTCTGTCACACTTTAGCATTACGTCAACGCCCACGGAGTTTCTAGGAAATTGACAACGTAGGAAAGAAATTTTAACATTTGATTTTTCCCAAACAGAAATGCTAAAACGTGTCGAAAAGAAAGTGGAAAAGAAGAAAACTTCGACGGCAAAGTATTAGTATTAGTAATGGTTAAAGGTTAAAAGCAAAATAAATGTGCTAGACAGTAGTAGTGGTAGTAGTGATGATAGTAACAGTAGTGGTAGTAGTAGTAGTGATAGTAGTAGTTGTGGTAGTAGTAATAGTACTGGTTGTAGTAGTAGTAATAGTACTGGTTGTAGTAGTAGCGGTAGTAGTTGCAGTAGTAGTAGTAGTAGTAGTAGTAGTAGTAGTAGTAGTAGTAGTAGTAGTAGTAGTAGTAGTAGTAGTAGTAGTAGTAGTAGTAGTAGTAGCAGCAGCAGCAGCAGCAGCAGCAGCAGCAGCAGTAGTAGTAGCAGTAGTAGTGGTAGTAGTAGTAGTAGTAGTGGTGTTGGTAATAGTAATGGTGGTAGTGGTAGTTGTGGTAGTATTAATGGCAGTAGTAATAGTAGTGGTAGTATTGGTAGTAGCAGTTGTAGCAGTGGTAGTAGTAGTGATAGTTGTAGTAGTAGTAGTAATGGTAATAGTAGTAGTAGTGGTTGTAGTAGTAGTAGTAGTATGAGTGGCAGTAGTAATAGTAGTGGTAGTTGTAGTAATGGTGGTAGTAGTAGTAGTTGTAGTAGTGGTAGTAGTAGTTGTAGTGGTAATAGTAGTAGTGATAGTAGGTCGTGATAGTAATGGTAGTAGTAGTAGCAGTGGTGGAAGTTTTAGTTATAGCAGTGGTAGTATTAGTATTAGTAGTGGTAGTAGTAGTAGTAGTAGTAGTAGCAGTAGCAGTTAGTAGTGGTAGTAGTAATAGTGGTGGTAGTAGTAGTAGTAGTAGTGTAGCAGTAGTAATGTGGCAGATGTAGTAGTGGTAGTTGTGGTAGAAGTAGTAATAGCGGTAGTAGTAGTAGTAGAGGTAGTAACAGTGGTAGTAGTAGTAGATATTAGTGGTAGTGGTGATAGTAGTAGTAGTGGTAGTAGTAATAGTAGTGAGTGGTGGCAGAAGTAGTAATAGTGGTAGTAGTAGTCGTGGAGGTAGTAGTAGTGGTAGGAGTGGTAGTGGTGGTAGTAGTAGTAGTAGTAGTGGTAGTAGGAGTAGGTAGTAGTGGTAGTGGTGGTAGTTGTAGTAGTAGTGGTAGTAGTATTAGTAGTAATAGTGGTAGTAGGAGTAGGTAGTAGTGGTAGTGGTGGTAGTTGTAGTAGTAGTGGTAGTAGTAGTGGTAGTAGTATTAGTAGTAATAGTGGTAGTAGGAGTAGGTAGTAGTAGTAGTAGTGGTAGTAGTAGTAGTACTGCTAGCGGTGGTAGTGGTAGTGGTAGTAGTAGTAATGGTAGTAATGGTAGTGGTGGTGGTGGTAGTGGTAGTAATAGTAGTAGTAGTGGTAGTAATAGTAGTAGTAGTGGTAGTATAGTAGTAAGTAGTAGTAGTAGTAGTAGTAGTAGTAGTAGTAGTAGTAGTAGTAGTAGTAGTAGTAGTAGTAGTAGTAGTAGTAGTAGTAGTAGTAGTAGTGGTAGTAGTAGTGGTAGTAGTAGTGTAGTAGTAGTAGTAGTAGTGGTAGTGTAGTGGTAGAGTGGTAGTGTTAGTAGTTGTAGCAGTGGTAGTAGTAGTTGCAATTGTTTTACTCAAAGCAGTAGCAGCAGCAACAGTAGTCGTAGTATGAGGACGAGGACGAGAAGAAGAAAGGAAGAAGAAAAAGAAGGTAAAAGGAAGACCAGGAAAACGAAAGGAAAAAGAAGAAAAACAGAAAAGAAAAAAGGAACAGAAAAGAAAGGATATTAAAATAAAAAAAAATAAAAATAAAAATAAAATAAAATAAAATAAAATTAAAGAAGAGAAGAGAGAAAAAATGATACAATAAAATAAAATGAAATAAAATAAAAGAATATAAGAGAGGAGAAAAAAGAGAAGAGAAAAAAAATAAAGAAAAAGAATGATGATCCTGATATTGATGGAAGCAGTAGTGATGGTGATGATTACGATGACGATAATGATAATAGTAATAATAACCATACTACTACTGCAACTTCTGACAGGAACAATAATACTGCTAATGATGATGATAATAACTAGAAGCACTCTGCCCATACCTCCGCCAAGGCAATAGGGTCACTGATGCAATAAAAAATATTCACACTTGAAAAATTACATTAAAATCACCTCTTTCTCAAATAAACTGGTGACGGCTGTAAACAGGACCTCCTTGGTGGAGGTAATAAAGGTAATGATATTGATATTTACCCCTGTATGTAGGAGTACCTGATGCACTCAATTAGAAAATTCCAGGATCTGGATCACCACCAAAATTTAATGGCATCTAAGTTGGGCTAAGACATATATAATCTGTTAATAACTTTTTGAGTTATCCTGCTAACCATCTCATCAACTAACCAATGCTACCAAAAAACAGACTTCTTGGTAGAGGAAATAAGAAGTAAGAGGATGAGACGAAGTGAGGTAGAGGAAGGTTATGGGGAGAAGAGAGCATATTGAGACTTAATATGTGATTGCCAAAGACTTCTTTCCTTTAATGTCATGCAAAATTTTTGTCTGGTTCATTTTACTGATTCACAACTACAATTCAAACATTTTGCATAATACTTAGTTACACAATAAAAAAGATTAAAAGCTTTTGTTTTGTATGAATAAAAATAAAATAGGGATGACATGACACAAAATTAGACATAGATATGCATTTGGTGACAACCAATTGCAAACCTGTGACATATATAATTTAAAAGATGCTGATGGCATTGAAACTCAACTTTTGGTCTAAATGTTTTCTTGAATGACTTTCTGTACTTCTAACACTTATCTTTCAATTTCATCACCTTGGCAGCATTTATTTTAGCCACAGTTTTAAGTCCAAACTTCTGATAGTGCTCCTGTTTCAGCCATAAATTTGTTTACAATCTGATAATCTGTTGGCATTGTCAGTAGCCTCTGTCTTACTGCCTTTGACAGAATTAATACTTAATAAGATGTCACATTTCTTTAGTGGCTTCTGTTATAGTGACTCACAATGGCAAAAATATCTTTAACAAATAATGTGGAATATATTTTAAAGTTCTAGTTATTTCACCATCATGATATCTTTACTTAGAGCACTTGTCTACACAGCAAAATAATGAGAGGGAGAGGGAGAGGGAGAGGGAGAGGGAGAGGAGAGGGAGAGGGAGAGGAGAGGGAAGGGAGAGGGAGAGGGAGAGGGAGAGGGAGAGGGAGAGGGAGAGGGAGAGGGAGAGGGGAGAGGGAGAGGGAGAGGGAGGAGAGAGAAAGAGAAAGAGAAAGAGAAAGAGAAAGAGAAAGAGAAAGAGAAAGAGAAAGAGAAAGAGAAAGAGAAAGAGAAGAAGAAAGAGAAAAAGAGAGAAAGAGAAAGAGAAAGAGAAAGAGAAAGAGAAAGAGAAAGAGAAAGAGAAAGAGAAAGAGAAAGAGAGAGAGAGAGAGAGAGAGAGAGAGAGAGAGAGAGAGAGAGAGAGAGAGAGAGAGAGAGAGAGAGAGAGAGAGAGAGAGAGAGAGTATTATTATTTTCATTATTATTATTATTATGGTCAGTTAATTTTAAAATCAAGAAATATTGGAAACTACTGCAAATTGTTATACATCCTCCATATTAAGTTCCCTGACACTGCTGTCTGATAAATTCAGCCTTGGCATTGCTATCACCATTTGGATCTATATACCAATGTGAGCCAAATGCAGCATACCCTCAGCCCCTATCACTGCAAGCTTACAATTGATTACTCTGAGGGTTGTTTGATGCTCAGTGTGTCCAGAAAATAATATGGTTAGTATAAATCTAAAATTATAAAAAAATATACGTATTTTGTTATGAAGAATACTGAAAGCTACAAAAATATTACATTTATGTTATGCATGTGCAGGAAAATACATTTGAGTATACAGTGATGAAAAAAAAAATGGCATGCAAGGTTATTAATAAGGCATTAATTATAAACTGGCACACAATGCTCAAAAGGTTGCTGACCCCTGCTCTAGAAGTATGAGTAACACGAAGAACCTCAAGAACCAAGTCACAGAGGTCAACATAGTGTAACCCACAGAAGCCTAGCAGGGTGTAAGGTCTGTGGCAAAATGGTTTCATGAGATAGCTTCACTAACTTAATAGGTCATTCAGCTCGGCAAAGAACAATGTTTTGATACAAACAATTTTAAAGAGGCAACTTGCTCAGATAATCCTCTTTACATCTGGAACTTTGCAACAATGGCACACCCCCTAGATATTCTTTGATTTTGATAAATTTGGTATTTCTGAGAAAGGGAAAACAAATGGTGTCCATTTCCAGTTGCGACCACATAACATTCCAAAGTCAGATTTATTGAAATGCCCCAACACACAGTGACAGGGTTAGGTTCTTAACCAAAATCTCTTTTGTGGCATTGGCAATGGGTACATGCCTAGTCCACTGTGGTTTGTTTATTCATTTGGCAGAAGCATAGATGGCTTTACATATGTTCACAAGGCTTACCTGATTATACCTGTTTACCCTAGTCCTTGAATATTGGGGAGAAAAAATGAGCCCATTACTATTATCATAAATAATATATCATTGACATTTATGTCAGATAAAAGGATAAAATCTAATCAAATGTGTTAAACTTGAACATTCCTGTCACTTAAACACTCTTTACCCAATCTACCATTATATACACTACATGCAGGTTAATAAAACAATGTTGCAAACAATACATATATATTTCTCCAACAAAAGATTTCAACAGATTCAATATGGTCCATAAAAGAATGTAACTGAAAATAAGTAATATATCTTTCCATTATGTCATGCAAAGAACACAGAAAGCTGTCCACAACACGAGTATATAATTCTCCCAGCAGTACAGATATAAGGTTCATTTAAGAGTTAATGTCAGTAGGAACCTTACACTGAGTATTAAGGCTTCAGTGAAAATCACAGTCATTTGTTTATGTTAAACAGATATATGCACAAAAAGCAAGACATCATACTTCTTTAAACTCTTGGCACTTCTGTTATTCTTTCATATTTAGAATATATATCCTTGTCTTTCATAAAATATGTATGTTATGGTCCATTAGCACTAAACTTAAAAGTATGATGTAACACCCAATACATATTCTTATTTTCATCAAGTAAAAAATTGGATCAAAATGTTCACCCTTTATTGAAAGAAAGATCCATATCGGGATAAAAGCAGATCCATGTATATTTGTGTGTACTGGAGGAAAAAATGAGAATCATCAGGGACATAATGTCTGTCAAATATAAAGATCAAAGTATTGATTTTATCCTTCTGCTGCTCCTTACATATGTAAATTATAATCTCACAGGTAGTTAGATCTTTAATCACCTCTAATCTGTGGATAACTTGCTTTCCTTCATTCAAAACAAATAAGCACAAAAGCCATTTTGTTCATAAAAACTATTCCTTATAAAACCTGACTAAAGCATATTTTCTCACTGACTGCTACATTACTACATCATAGGTAATAATGATAAAAATAAAAAAGGTCACCTACAGGAAAAACTCCCTCATAATACAATACTCTGGTCCTGCTTAACACGCTTGTTCCCCTGAATTTCCTCTTTATTGCTGAACTCCTCAAGCTGCAACCGCAAGTTTTCTCTCGCTGCTCTCTTCTTAGCTGTCTTCTCCAGCATCTCATCATAATCATCGGAAAACATAGCTACGAGTGCCCCATACAAGTGACGGAGTTTTGGTAGGTTCTTGAAAGCAACCTGGTTCAAGAGATTAAATTCTATAACAGGATACCTTTAGAAAGAGTAAGTTGGAACCTTTATACCAGTCTGTAACATAATTTGAGTAATAGGACTACTACTTGTTCCTTCATAAATAATCTTTACAGTACTCTAAATCTTAAGTTGATTATCCAATCATATTTATGTATATACATTTTTAAAAATCACATCACTTACTCTCATGTTGTCAAATGCAATTCCTACTTTCTCTGGGAGATCATCTTCAAAAAGAGGCACTTTGGCATAACGCTGTGAAAAATGAGTGAGCAAAATGTTCTCAGCATTCATGTCTCGCCCAACCTGAAAATGTGAAAACATTAATAAGTCTAATAAGGAGTAAGGAGTGAAAGACTTAACTCCTAATACTGAAATTCAATTAATATGATTCATAAAAAGGTAATGATAATCAATTAAAAGTTACTAAAAACATGTGTGAAATGTCGGTAAAGAATACGATAAAGAAATACAAAGGAAAGGAAGGAGACAAAAGGAAGACAGAGAGACAATATAGGGCTACTTGTAATAAAACCAACTAATCAACCAACCAAACAATCATCCAATCTATCTCTCACTGAGTTTGCATTCCAAGCATTTTCATAATCCAGAACAGAGTTTCTATATCCCTTTTGATTGTTCATGTCAATACTTATGGGTTAAAATTAGATGACTGAATAGAGCCAAAATACAACATATATGAAACATTAATGTGTTATCATTCATTTTGTGTACTAAATGGGGTACAGTAATTTTTACACAAATGCACAATAATTTCATTTCATTTAACACAATTTGACCAATTCATGCCAAGTGACATCCTATCATGTTGCAGAGTAAATTTCCCTGATGTTGGGTGATGTCTAATTATGCCAAGAGCCTGGGTTCGGGCACCTGAGATAACATGTAGTGGCATGCACCACCACAGCCTGGTGTAAATGATTGTTAGCGATCTACATGGATATCTTTCAGAAAGTGTAGAAAAGTTAGAAAAGTGAATATTAATGTAAAGATTGAAATATAAAAACAACTGACAATTGCAATTATTTGCAACTGCAGTATCTAAATAGCAAATTCCACTATAGTTTTGACAAACAGACAGTAAACTCACAACACAGGACATGTGATTAAAAAAAAAAAAAAAAAAAAAATAAATATATATATAATATAATATATATATACATATATATATATATAATATATATATATATATAATATATATATATAATATATATATATAATATATATATATATATATATATATATTATATAATATATATTTTTTTTTTTTTTTTTTTTTTTTTTTTTTTTTTTTTTTTTTTTTTTTTTTAAAGCCTGCAGTCTGCTACTCTGTTAACATCATGTATTTCAAGATTTCTAAACATGCTATACAGACAAGAGATTAAAGTTGATAACCTCTGGACTACAAAATTTTCATCTATCATACTTTCAATAAAATTACTGATGCACCTTACTTTATCAGCTTGATATAATTCTAAAGTAAGGGTCTCACCTGAATGGCTTGTGAAGTGGTTGAGTGTGTCTTTATCCTTGCATCGTCTTCAAGTTCATCCTCCATGGTTGCCTCATGTATCAGCAAGTTGCAATTCTGACCTGTAATTCAAAAGAAAATTGTCACAATAAGATACTGATAACAGCACTTATGTCATTATTCTTATTGTATACAACATATAATGAGAATAACTTTAGTGTTCTACTTTTACTTTTAATAAAGCTAAAATAAATGTAGTATGAGTACCTACAACTATGAAATTAATTTCGAGAATTTCTGTTCTAAATACAGATATCATCAACATGTGCTTTATGAGATTCCTTATTCCCTGCTTAAACAACTTACTAACATTTTTTGAATGAATGAAATATTCAAAAAACAAACTGCACTTACCTATCTCAACCAGACCAGAGCACGGCATAGTGTCACCTGAATACACAAGCTTCCATCCATCAACATGAGTCCATGCCACTCCAAATGAGTTGGGGCAGTGAATCACATATGTCATATCTATTTTCTTCATGTCTAGTTGTGAACATAGTTCCTCATAACGGTCTTTTTCCAATGTAAAGTTTTGTGCTAAAAAATTATGATTTGCAATTAAAGAAAAGTCTTGGAGTACTGGTTCAAAGTTAGCATGGTATGAAATGAGATATGCCAATATTTTCTGAGGTGCTAGGAGAGGCAGCTTGGGAATCTGCAGTTAAGTAGAGAGATTGAAACATTAATTGTCATATACACCCAACATCCACACAAATTTTTGAATTTTAGCAACTATCAAAAACATTGATATTTAATCACATATATTTTCATATTTCCACTGTATTTATATCATGGTGCATCTATTTTTAAAAATATCTTTCATGCTAACTTTAGTTATTCCTGCACGTTGAAAAGCCTTTCTTCTACCAAGGAGAATATTGATGAAACCAATATGATGGTCTGCATGTAAGTGGCTAACATACACAGCTGCAAGATTCCGAAGGGCTTGATCTGCTTCGTCTAGTCCAAGCAACCTTACAAGCTGCCCATATGTGCCCTCACCACAGTCCATTAACAGAGTCTTATTAGCACTGAAAATCATAGACAAACAAAACAAATCTGTAAAGCAAATATGCATATACCAGTAAATTCTTCATTCATAAATCAGTCTCTATGCAGATATGCAACATTTAACAAATAACCTGCACTAACCTTATATTAACCAATAAACCAGAGGTATTTCGTGTTTTGTTTGGTATACAAGATCCTGTTCCTAAGAATATCACATCGGGATAATTCTGATTTGTAGACTTTTCTTGATGTTCTTCCAGATTTGTTGATTCTAGTTTTGCTTTTGCACTGAGCAGGGCTGGCTCAAATTTCTCTTCTTCATAACATTCTTTGACGTATGTTTGAGGTTTCAGCATAAGACGATTTGACCTGTGTACCACAAGAATCATGACAATTATGATAGCTATACAATGTATATTTCATTGCCATGAAAATGTGTTTAACCTTCAAACATTATTTATATTGATAATTATATTATTCTTAATGATATTAAGATTATCAATTTGTTAGTGAATTATTGATAAAATTAAAGACAAGAGAATAATACAAAAGAAGCGCTCCAAAAATTAAGGAAAAGGTAAACAGGTGAGATAGGTAGGACTAATAACTGCCTCCTTGGTGATTAAATACCTGTAGAGCCATCTATGTGTAAAGACATAAGATGAACCTACATAAGTGTAGGCATGGTATGTGTTCTTGCTAAATGGGGCAATTGGGTTAACTTGTATATTACTGTGAGTTAGAACAACTGCCTTTGTATGAGTTTATATAATGTGAATCAATAAAAGGAATCATAATATATTTAGACAACATTCACAAGAATAAAATAGATACCTTACATGTAGCAATCTCACATTGAATCACAATTTTAACATTCCCTACTTATGTACATGTTATAGCAAAAATAAGAAAATATATGTGTGAATATATAACTTCTTAGCAAAACAACCAGTGCTTAACTTACCTGTCTATTTTCTTCTTTGGTCTGATGTGGTACATAAGAAGAGTATGTGCTTGATGAGTTGGACCTACTATGTGTTTAGGTAAGGAATTAGACTCAACATTCTCCTTTTCTGAAGATTTTTCATCATTGGAAAAAACATTTTCTGTCATGTTGTCATCATTTGATTCTTGCTGATCTTCCTCTGTAATGGGGATACTTTTGTCTTGCAAGAGAGGAAAAAGATCTTCACTAAGGTGATTTAGTTTATACTGGAGCCTGTGTACAGCTTCTGATCCCATACAGGAGCTAGCATCATTTGCAATAATGTGGTTTGTTGATGGAGAAAATCTTGACATCCACTCTTGGTAGCGTGGATTGGCCATGACGTGCGAGGGTGTGAAATGTACAACAACTTCTGCCAAATCACTGTCAGATGCTTCACTGGGTTGGTACTGCATAAATGTTGGACATTCAAGTAGGGAATCAAGGTAAGCCTCTGTTGGTATCTCAATAACTGTTGAAAAAAATACACATTACACTGACAACAATAATAATTACAGAAATTCTCTAAATCATAATCATTAGAAATTCTCTACATCTACTGAGCCTGCTGTGGTAAGTTATCCTACAGCTGCTCAGTCAGAAAAATAATTGCATACTATACGCTGAACACATATACATAAAATCAGTAGAAGAGTTTGTAAAGAAAGGAAAGGAAAGAAGAAGAAGAAAGAAAGAAAGAAAGAAAGAAAAAAAAAAAATGCACAGTATTTCCCACATCAGAAGACACAGCTTACCAATGAAGATTGGGCCAGGGTCATCAGGAGCAGTGACATCAGCAGCAAATACAACCCTCCCATCTTCTAGAGTGACATCCTTGCCTCTCTTTAGTTCTCCAAGTAGGGGCCCTGGAGTTATTCCTGCTTTAACACATTTCTCTAGTAAAAGTGCACCAGCCTGTTAAAAAGAGGTAGTTGTGAGAAAATATCTTCATAACGATGACTAAAAAATAAAATTTTTCACATATGGTATATAACCTTTTATATATAAAACAACTATGCAAATGTAACTGTCAATTCTAACATAATAATGTTTCTTTTCTTAAAAAGACCCTCCTATTAATCTCATAATTATCATATCTTCATATGGTTTTAAATTACTTGGTAACAAAGCATTCAGAAATATATCATTATAATCCACAATAGTTTAATCATTTTTTCTTCTTCATATATCCATGAAAATCACATCTTTTTAAATATATCTTTCTAATACAACAAATGTCGCACACTCAATTTTGATCACTATTTTACCTTGGGTGGTGGTCTGCACACATAAGCTATGGAAAGATCTTTACAAAGTTTGCTCTCCTCTTGATTTTGTCTTCTCCTTGCAGGGTTTGTATTTGCATTTACAAACTGACGCTTTTTCATCAATGGTTTTTCATGTGCATAAAGATCTTCCACTGCTTATGAAGGAAAAATCATATGTATGTCAGTGAACAATACAGCCAGTGAATAAATAAAAATAAAATTGAAATTAGTTAAAATACTCTTCTAATTAACAAACTTTAAGACCAAATTTTCATAAGATTAAATTTATGAAAATGATAAAAAAAAAAAAAAAAAAAAACAGACAACATAGAGAATGCTTACCATCCTCTCTCTCATTTGTGATTTCGTCTGTAGTTTCTTCACTCTTCTCAGCTGAAGACTCGTCCTTCTTGGCCCAGATGGGAACTGCCTGGATGTTTAGGGGATCATTGGATTCCCCAATCACCCCATCACCTTCTTTATAATGCTTGTATTTGATATTCAGGTCCCTGAACCTTATAAAATGACGGGTATCATAGTATAAGGATTCCTGCAAAAGTAGAGTTTATGGTGGGATAATGTAATAAATATTGTCATTTCAAAAATAAATGCTTCTTTACTGCTTACCTTTCATTTCCTAAAGAAGAGATAAAGCAAAATTATAAAAATAAATAATATAGTCCTTTTTAGTAGTAATAATAATCATAATAAAAAAAAAAATCAATAATAATAATATTTAAAATATATGTAAATAACAATAACAACACTAATAATTATATGAATAATAAAAAATATTAATGATACTAAAAGGCCTTTCCGGAACTTTTCCAAATTCAAGTCAAAACAGGTCATCATCCTAATAACAAAGAATATTGAAGTCTCAAATAAGACCATTTTTAAAGAGATATATGAAAAATACATAAAAACAAGGAAAACATGAGATTTTTGAAACTCGGTGAGAGCAAGGATAGCTATAGGTAAAGAAAAAGTCAATTATCTTTACACAATAATCTAAGATTTCTTCTTTTGTGTGTGTCTTCAATACTCTTCATATAAAAAGAAGAAAAAGGAAAAGAAGAAGACAAAGAAGAAGAAGAAGAAGATCAATACAAAAACCTCTAGATGTATAGAGACATCTTATCACAGTAGTAGTTTGAATACAAAATACCTATTACCATAATATGAATAGGTCTGAGTCTAAAGAATGGAAATAAATGAAAACACAAATTTACATTGTAAACTGATAAAAAAATCAACATATATCCACAAAAGATGGCATGGTAAATATAAAACAAGTAAATGAGAATGAATAAATGCACAGTGCAAGATATGTAATTATTGTTTTGAGATTCTTCTTCATCAGAAGTATGTCTAATAAATTAATAGAGATAAATTTGTTAAATAACTTATAAATTATTCATTTTCATTTACACCTTTAGTATATGAATCCACAAACAGTACAGAAGTCAACATACAATGCCTGGAGGTCCATGAAGAGAGATCTCTGGAACTCCAGTGTCTTGAAGTGTCAGGAGGATTCCTGGCAGCCCACCAACATTACTCCAAGACTTGTGTGTGATTAAAATGTGCTCCATCATACTCAGTTTTACTCTGTGTTCATAGGCAAGTCTCTGGGATCCTTCACCACAGTTAAACAAATACCTAGAAATAAAAGTAAAATCAAATAGATAGTTGTATGTATGAAATATAGATGATGAATAATAAATATACCACATGTTCAAGGTACAACCCAACTATTTCCCTCTTTCCATTTTTGTTCTGAATGTTGTATTAGCATTTATAGATTTAAACTGAAACAATGTTACAATGTATGTAGTACAAGCCTTGGTTTTATTTTTTATTTTTTTTTTTCAAGTGATTTTTCATCCACTAGAACATCTATTAATATGTTACTGACCAAATGACTCTTACAATATATAACTACAATCAATACTTTTACTAAATTATTAAACATTACCTTGCTTGCTCTGTGAAGACATAGAGAGACTTGGGAGCACCTGGAGCACCAGATCCTAAAACTTGCAGATATACTGTAGAAGGTGGATACTTCCGTACCTTCTTTCGTCGTGCAAGACGTAGTTCTTGCAACTCTTTCACATCAATCTGCAAGGTGATTCAAAAGAGACTGATATAAACATGCTGAGAAGACAAATGCAACCGGTACATTTAGAAGTGCAGATCTATATAAAAAAAATACACTATATATATATATATATATATATATATATTATATATATATATATTATATATATAATACATATACATTTACATATATATTATAAACTACACACACACACACACACACACACACAACACACACACACACACACACACACCACACACACACACACACACCACACACACACACACACACACACACACACACACACAACACACACACATACACACACACACACACACACACACACACATATATATATATATATATATATATATATATATATACATACATATATATATATATATTATATATATACATATTATATACTATGCATATTTATAAACATATAATTAATAATAATAATAATAATATAATAATAATAATAATAATAATATAATAATAATAATAATAATAATAATAATAATAATAATAATAATAATAATAATAATAATAATAATAATAATAATAATAATAATAATAATAATAATATTATTATTATTATTATTATAACATGAGCTCCAAATCTTGAAGCACATTTTCTATTTCAAATTTGTATATATTTATGTTTGTAAACAAAATAACTGTGCTTTTTACAAAACATCATAAAAAAATAAATTTTTGTTATCATATCAAATTAGAAGTGTGCCTTTTATACAGGCACCAACTAAATGCTAGCATGTTCTCTTCTAACAAACCACTGTTGGTTTAGTTGTTTTTTTAGCTCAAATACACGGGGGCTGTGTAAGCGAGGAGGAAACAAGGGGAGCCTGCTATTGGAGAGGTGTGAGGTGTCCGTGTCAGCCATTCAGGTCTCAGCAGTAAGTCATGGAAAGCACCTGATGGTGTGTGAGTGAGGACAAGGGTGTGGACCTGGTGTGACCCATTCCTTGAACTGTAAATCATCTGATCAAAATCTGATTATCATATTGAAATAGCACATCTCAAAACGGAAGCAGGCAACAATTATCTATGCAGAATAGGAATGATTCAGAAATGATATACTGATCTTTAATGAAATGCAACAGGCACTTCAGGGGAGTGATATACATCTAACCATTACACCATACCTATGTACATTATAGCAAGATGGGGTCTGGACTTGTTTAATTAAGGATAAACTGCCAGA